ATGTATACATGGTGTGTGCGTGTGCGATACGTATATATATATATATATATATATATATACATATATACAAATAAAAATTTGTGCATGTTGGTGCCTGTGTATGTCATGCACGTGTGCTATATGTATAGTTATGTGTATATTTAAAGTTAACTTGTGGGTTTTTAGGTTTGGGTCTCTGCTTCTGGTCTTCTTTTTGAATCGCAAACAAGTGAAACAAGGTGCATGCAGTCGTCTATCGTAGTTAACAGCTTTGGATCCTGTACATTTGGGTTGGAAACCTATACATACCCGTTGATTTCTGCACATGATGTGGCCACAACCACCCACTCGATCCGACCTTTTGGGCTCATAACCAAGCGTTTTTATGTGCAAACCATTGCAAACCATTGTTTCCATGCCTGATTGTCCTCAGGGACTTTTTGTTAAAGTGCCTGGGAACAAATTCCTGGGGACAATGCCAAACAGCTCTCTGCATTGCGCCCGGCGGGAATTAGCGCCCAGGTACAAATTCCGGCCGGGGACAGCTCTCCAGGAACAAGCACTGCCAGTATGGACAACTGTACGATGGCAGTGCGGGTAGCCCGGGGGCCCTGTCCGCAAAGCAGTCACAACTAGAGCTAGTCGTCGCCACGAGGAAGTAGACGAAGAAGTGCCACCACGGAGTGGAAGCACTCAGCCATCATTGCGCTTTTGGGCGGGTGCCCAAGGTCTGCAGGTAGTCATGGTACGCCTTGCCGATCCTAGCCGTAGACCGCAAAGCCTGAGATTCCCAAAGTTGTGCATTGCGAGCTCCCTGGGCGTGCGCATGCCTTCTGGAGCCACTCCACCGCTGTCCCATGGAAGCTGCAGCCGCCTTGTCCGCCGCCTCGTTGAGGGCCCTGAGCCGAGCAGCCGGCAGCCGAAAGCCCAAGCGGCGGGGTGCACCCAAGCTTTTTGTCATGCGACGGCGTCCAGATGAACATGACCTCGAGCTGGCCGTCGCGAAGCTTCTTGAGGTAACCACGAGTAGTGTCGAGCAAGAGCGTGTAGTCGAAGCCGTTGTTGCTCTGGATCGCCCGAATCGCAGCCTGGCAGTCCACGACGAGGAAGAGCCGACGCCATTGCACCAAAGAGCCGGGAGAAGAAGCCTGGATCACAGCGATCACGGCCTCAAGTGCCAAGGCGACGGCCTGCACCTCCATCCTGTAAGGGGTTTGGTCCTCCAGTCCATCGCCACAGGCAGCAACCGTGTCAGGATGCTGGATGGCGACACCCGAGGAGCCCACGCCGTCTTTGCTCGAGCCGTCCGTGGTCAAGTAGAGGTCGCGGTCCGCAGCGTAAGTGCCGAGGAGGTCGACGAGGTGCTCCTTGAAGTCATCGATGTCTACCACCTGCGGGGCCGCCGGATAGCAGCCCACCTCCATGGCAAAGAGGCGCTCCTGCGCAGTGTTCTCCGGGAGCTGAACGCCAGCCCGCAGACCACGAAAATGAGGGCAAGCCCAGGTCGGCTTGGGCGAGCAGCCCCCAGCGTTGAAGTGCCAGTTGGAGGTCCCCGCACCGATGGAGGCCAAAATCAGATTTCGGTCGTTACCTGCATTGTGAAAGCACTCGCGGTGGCCTGCAAAGTCGTAGATGGCCGCACGCGAAGGTCGGGGCAGACGAAGGCCCACAGCAAGCTCCTGGGTGTCATCACGGCGTGCGGGGGTCCACACTCGCGCAGTCTTTCCAACGTAGAGCTGACGATAGTGGTGCTGAAGCCATTGCAGCAGGAGGACCTGAAAGGATTCGTGACCCACCCACAAGTGCCTGGTGTGGCCTTCAGCATCGCAGCACTGAAGAACACGAGCATCGGCGGAGAGCCACCACTTCAGTCGCTGCAGGGTCGGGGCCAACATGGGGAGCACCTTGAGCACACAGCCCTGGAGTTCTGAAAGGGGCAGAGCCTCGGTCCAGTCCATCGGTCGCACCACGGAGCGCCAGTAGGCACGCAGCGTGGCCACATCCAAGTTGTATTGGGGATCAAGGAACCAACCAACGACCTCACACAACAAGACTCTGGCAGCCCCTGCGATCGCAAAGCGGGTCATCATGTAGTTGATTTCATGCTGAATGGCAGCCATGTCTGGGGCTTCCGGGGCAGCGTAGGCAGCGGCCCAGGTGAAGCACGGCACGATCAAGGAGCGCAGTAGGAGCCCTACGAGCCTGCTAGGGAGCCCTAGGGATCGCAAGAGCCTAAGCCTGACCTGCAGCTTGCGCAAAGAAAACTTCAGAAGGCGCCAAGGGCCCTGCAGAGGTGCAACAATGCCAAGAGTTTCCAAGTCTTGCTCATGCTTATAGCCTAGGGCTGCTGCAAGCTCAGCTGCCTCAGTGTTCGAGGCCTCAGCAATGATGGCGCATTTGGGCAAGGAGACCTCCAGCTGCATTGCTTGGTCAAAGCGGTTGGACCGCTCCACGGCGTAACGCAGCTCCACAAACGAACCGTGCGCCCTAAGCAGAAGAACCCTATCATCTACACAACCATATCCGGTGATCGGCAGAGCGCTGGTGTCCTCCGGGCCTAAGACAAAACATGACCAGGCATGAGTCACAGCAGCAGCGATCAGTGGGCTTAGAGGGCAGCCCTGTGGAAGCCCACGGGTGGGCTGATGCCACCCCTCACTGAGGGCACCTTCCAAAGCAAAGACCCGCTGGGATTGCGAGCACACGTTCATGAACTCCGGCGGCGCCCTAAGGTGCGTGAGGATCTCAGCTGTCAGGTCATGTTCCAGACCGTCAAAGAAGCTTGCGACGTCTTGCTGAGCAGCAGCCTTGTAACCTCGGGTGGCCTCGTACCTAAGTTGTTGCAAAGCAGTGGCGACACAGGTGCCAGGGAGCAGAAACTCATTGGTCGGACATGCCTGCAATCCCTAGGCAGCAGAAACTCTTCCCAAACATGCCTGCTGCCAAGGGCTTAGCGTGGTTGCCAACACTTTCCACACAGTCTGCAACCTCGCAATGGAAACTATGTACACGGGACTAGGAACTATAGCTAGCCAGTGCACTTGGGCACCACACCACTCCGGAAAGCCATCCATGGTGCCATAACTTCACTCACCGACAACGCCACCCTCGTGCTGGGCGGGAATGCAGCAAAATGCCCTTTGAACAAAGACCTTTGCCGAGTGAGCCGACCACACCCATGTTGTCGGACATTTGTCGCAAAACCACGTGGGCAAGCGCGGAACGGGACTCCACTTTGGCCCGTGCCAGGAGCAAAGCCTGCTGCGCCACCATTTCGATGGCACAAATGGCCTTTTCTAGCTTATCTGGGCAGCACTAGTCTTTCGGGAAATCCTGCTGCGAGAAGAAGATATGGAACCAATGCGAGATATTCCCGGCGCCACGGAACCAACCACCGACACCTGCAACACCTCCCAGAGCCCATGCATCTGCTGCACCCGCAGGCTGGCACGACCAACCAGCCCAGTCGAATGCGTTCTTTAAGAAAGATTGCTTTAGCAAATGTAAGCGCGTTCACACAACCGAGATCCAAGCTGGTGGTCGCTGGCTAAGCATTGAATCTGACCCATGCACCATCATTCTTCAAGCAAGGTTGCTGTAGCGCCGCCTGCACACAGCTTCGTGACACGGTAACCTGCTTGCCGACACACACCAACTTCCATCCTTGCTGCACATCAGAAAGCTTCGCATCACGCCATCACGCCAGACTACCAAGGAGTCCATATTCATGATTGCCCTCAGTTCTTCCAGCTGAGCCAGCGACAGTCGCTGAAGCCTACTGCACGGCTTGTTCCATGCCGCAAACAACGGCGCGAGAAATGGACGAAGAGAGATGTTCACTTGAGTAGCCCACACCAGCAGCCCCAAGAACTGGCGCAGCTCTCGCCGGTTCACGCTTCTCGGGTGACGAACCCGCCAGGCAATGGTTCGCAGGATACGCATCCTTTTGTCCTCCAGCATACTGGCACGGAAGCAGCCAGGACAAGTTTCGAGGCACAACAACCACCCCAAGTATTCTAGGGAATAGCCCAAGCGTAGCTTCTTCCAGCTGATGGGCACTCCCAGGATTTGCAGCAACGCGAACAACATCGCCACCATGGGAGCAAAGGACTGCCGCGGCAGTAACCAAAGCATGTCATCAACGTAAATCGCTCCCAAGTGCCTGAAGCGCAGAACGAAATGGGAAATCCGCACCAGCAGGGCGCCCAGTCTAGACCACCAGTTGCACTCCAGGCAGCACCGAAATGATTGACTACGTAGGTAAATATAAAAATCAAGAACACTATAGCACAGCAATTGTGCCAGCACCGGAGCTGTGTACTCAACACCGATACACAACAATCAAGCACTGCTGGCATCAACACAACTGTACAGCACTGCATGTACACGTGAGAAACGGGTGTATTGCCAAACCCAGCCGAACCGCTACACCCGACACCAGACGAATTGCATAGAGGACTCTAGTAGAGCGAATCGAGCATGCGCGGAGGCTATAGCTCCGGTCCAGCCAGGCCAGCTGCGAGCGCATTCGTTTTAACTATTTCCAGGACGTGAGTTACGAAGTCCAGAGTGCCACATGCCCGCCTTGCATGTAAGAAACCCTCCCACAGGGCCAGGTCAGGGTGAGAAGGAACTTGCGCACCCCACTGCACATTCGTTGATTCCCAACCCACACGCCCCCAAAAAGAGACGCACAGCGGACGACTTGAACCGAAATGGCAACGGCTCTCATTTCTTTTCTGTGTCTTCCTCGTCTTCTTTTTGCAGGTATTGACAAGGACAAGCGACTGGACAGATGCATACCCAAGACTGGACAAATGCAAACCCAAGCCTCCTCGCGTATCAGTTTTTCCCTGGAGGTCCGCTTCAGGCAAGTTTCACGGGGGAGGAATTTCACATGACTTTCAGCTGCGATACCTAGCTGAGCTTTGCGTCTGCTGTGGCAGATAGGTAGTCATGGAGCTCTGGGCTACATATTGCTTCGAGAAAGAAACATCAGCAAGGTAAGAAACCACGTGTGCCTTGAAAAGGTGTCGCTGCATCTCGAGCTTCTGTTCGTCTGCTGTTGCAAATGGAACCTCCTGGACGAATCTTGCGGCGAGGCTTAGCAAGGCCGATGCTACTTCTGCCAGAACCTGCAGTCTTAGGAAAGGTGGTACTAGTAGGCAAGGTGGGGTGGGAAGCATCATACGATTCTGGCAGCTCAGGAGCGTGGTCGGCTGCACCATAACAAGATCCCAGAGTTTAAGATCAGCTGACTAAACCTGCCACATGCTTGCAAAGTGTGCTCTCGGCAGCCAAAGCGTGCACCAAATCCCTGAGCGACGTCTGGGATTCGCAAATCTGTCAGCTCTACCGCAGAAGATCCAGCCGGAGCGTCAGACGTGCAATGCTCTAAGGGATCCCGTCCTCCCAGGTACTAAACTCTGCGAGGGCTTGCACCACCTCCACCTTTCAAAAAAATTGATTACCCATTCACTTCAATCCTCCAGTTTATCTGCCTGAGACACGAGGAGGACAGCTGCACAAAGGGTATATATCAGCGTTCGGAACGGAATACACGGCCGCCGCATTACGCTGAAACCTTGGACAAAAACTCCAGCAGAAACAAAACAAGCTCGCAAATCTTCAGGACTATGGAATACAGTCGAACGATGAATGCTGGCCACGAGGCCCAAGGATGCTGTGAAGCACAGGAACAGCGACATGATCCTGCTCAGGGTGAAGGAAGAAAGATGTCGGAAGCTACAAATCTGCAAAGGGGCCAACCAGCCTATGTGTGTGTATATATATATATATATATGTATGTACAGGTATAAGTATAGGTATATGTGTGTATGTTTTTTTGTGTATGTAGCTCTTCCGACCCCAAACAGACACAAAACTATGTTAGGGTATGAACACGAACGAAGGAAGGGCACAGGGCAAAGCAAAGGAAGCCCATACCCTGAAGTTCGAACGCAATTCAGTGGCGTCCTTCCTCACCCTTGAACCAACAACAATCATTGGCGTCATCAACTCAGCTGCACTGTCAGATTACTATACGAAGAGAAGCCGTATTTTAACAACTTTCAGGGGTAAATATGTATATGTGTATATGTACCATAGGTATAGGGATAAGGATGGGGATACGCATGTGCATATAAATATGCATACGTATATGTCCTAAACCTTCATATGCATAAACATAAACATATACATGTACATATACATATTACATATTACATATTACATATAGCATATTGCATATTACATATACATTTACCAAAACCAGAGAAAAACATATACATGTAGGGTGCTGGGGTTTTCACGGATCTATGTTCAGCATAGGCGTTGGGATTTTCATGAAGATGCAGGAGTAAAACCTGGAATAGAGACAGATTTGTTCAGACAAGCCCGAAAACATTGGGCATAGACGAAGCCAAATTCGGAAACCCTAAACCCTAATCCCCAAACCTTAAGTTTTGCCTTCAGCAAAGGTAATTATCATCCAGTGACACAGGAACGAAGAGAGTCACATCGCTATGCATTTTAACACGCCGTGTAAATGCACATACGTTCGTAGCTAGTCCCCATTGTACCGTTGCCGAGCCTTAAACCCTAAACCCTAAAACCTCAATCCCCGAACCCTAAACCCTAAACCCTTTCTTTTGCCTTCACCACAGGTAAAATCATCCAGTGACACAGGAACGAAGAAAGATATCGCTATGCATTTTGACATGCCGCGTCAATGCACATACATTCGTCGTCCCCTCCCCCCGCTACCGTTCCCGACCTTTTGCCGTAGGTGTTCGTGAACATTGCAGGGATAGTGTCTAAATATTGCCCCTGCGTCGGCTTGAAAAAACACTCCTCTATTCCTGACCCATGGTTGCCAGATTTTCCCAGATTCTGCCCGAAAAGGGCAGCACTCTATGCATATACATGGCGCAGCAAAAACCGCCACTCACGGACATTGAACTGAAACTGTTGAGGCCGCTCATAGAGCGTGCCTCGGAGTCCCACTTTTTGTCCGGGTGGTTGCCAGGAACTTTCAATTACCCAGCTTGCCCGATCACCGTGGACCAGCAGCCACTTTTGCGGCCAAGTGACTTTACGGCGGCAGGCCGCCACCGCCACACGATCCAGGCGAAGGCTTTCTAGGGCGTGCTGTGTGCTGTTGGGTCCTCCTCCTTGTGGGAGGATTTTTGTCCAACCTTGGTGGTGATCTGATGGATATTGGGTAGCTATCTTCGCGGGTTGGCTCGCCGACTTTTGCGGGCCGTGATTCGCCGACGTTGGCATCTTTGTTTCGGCAGTGATGGCGCCGAAACTTTTGCCGGCGATCGCAAGGTCTGTGCCTGGCCACGGAGTGGCTCCTTGCAACTTTTCCCCAATCTTTTCTACATATGTCTTTTGGAGCACTTTGGATGTCTTCCTTCAGATACGTTTCGGAGAAAGGCAGGAGGAGCAGCTTTGGAAACCGGGTGCACAACTTAACCCGCATTTTGCCTTCCTGATGTCCACTTTGTTCCCTGGATCGCAGCCTCCGCAGCGCACTTATACGCCTGTTGAACTTTGGGTGATATGGCGCTCCTACTTTCAGCGGCTGAGCCAAGAGCAGCCGGGCCAACTTTTGCCTGGCAGTGCAGACGACTGGTGTCACTTTCATATTTTCCTGACGATGCCATCGAGCACTCTGCATGGCTGTGGCACAGCAAGGTGAACTTTACATTTGCTTTGCGGATGTTTTGGATACTTTGGATTTGGATGCCAAGATGTGCGCTTCCACTTTAAAGATTCCAGGTTTCAATCTGTGAGCAGAGAGGGCAGGCGCTTAGCTTCAACCCGAGTGAAGAGGTGGTGGCATTGACATGTCCGTCCCACGGTTGAATGGCTGGGTATGATGCTGGTTACGCATCAGATGAACCCTTGGAGCCGCTGGTACCTGGACTTTATGTTTCGGGTTTCCACTTTGCTGGTGTCAGTGCTTCCAAGTAGCTGCTGCGGCTACTTACTTTTGGGGTCATTCGCCACCGCATTCAAACGTACTTGAGGTTCACCAACCAACTGAACCAATACTTTGCGAGCTCCGGATGCATCCGCTTTGCAGAACTTTGAGTTCGAGGCTAAGTTCCTTTGCAAGGAGAGTTGGCAAACTACGAAGATGTCGTCTATCCACCTTACTCAACTTGCCTGCAAGAGTGATAGCCAAAAGGGTAGCGGGGAAATCGAATGGAATAGACATGCCTGACATATTAAAGACATAATCTCAAGCGTCCCCGTCCCTGGCACGAAGACTGCCCAGGTATCGAAGTCGATCTGGGAGGTAAGCCAGCCGTCCAGGAAACGAGCCTCGAACAGGAAACGACGCAAGGCATAAGTGCACTGACAGTGCTCACAACGCCCATGGTCAACACCCGAACTGTTATGCATGGTTATGGTCAAAGAAAGACCTCAAAGCAGGAAAGGCAGCATCGAGCCTCAAAGAAAGGAGCCATGAAGAACTTGAGAACGAGCAAGTAGGACTGCCAGCAGGTCCTCGCCATGTCGCCTTGCAAGCAAGATTATGCTGGCTTGCCTTCATAGGCGTCTCGCTGGGCGTCCCCACGAAGCGATGCCCATTGGCCCTGCCAGCTCTGGGTCCGAAAGCTTGGCCCGGCAGAAGTCACAAATCTAGGTTCAATGTAACTGCCTGCTGATGAAAGAAATTCAACGTGTGGAAGCTCTGAATGAGCACCAAACTCCTGGCGTTTGGAGCTCTTTGCATGCGTGCGCGACACGGAAGTTACTGTATAATGCATTGCATGTGCACTGCGCGTACATCAGGATCTGTGCTGAGCGCATATCTGGCAACACGAGTAGCGGCACACCCGGTCAATATCAGCACGAAGTGCACGGCGCCGGCCGCACGCCTGGCAAGTTCGACCTTGTCAACGAAAAGCTCAGCGCAAAGGTAGCAAAGGCATGCCCAAGTCAAGAAACTGAGGCTCAGGCAAGGGCAGAGCCCTTGACGCAGGTTCAATCGCATTCCGACTGTCAGTTCTCACGTATTAAGCTGCAGCTGAGAGTCCGTGTGCGCGACGGGATCTATGGCACCAGCATTGGTCATTGTTGAATCTTGAACTTGAACCTACTGCTGGAGAGACTTGCGACCTCTACTGCAGAACTCAAGGGGAATCTTCCCCATCTCTGCACGAAGCTCCTGCGTTTGCTCCTGTTTCAATACTGTTTCTGATAACCTGAATGTCTAGATACTTAGCTAGTGATGGCCATTTCCATTTAGGTTATAGTATCGTCAAGCCCCCGCATTATCACCCTAATTTTCGCAATTCGTGTACCCCCCCTATGAATATCCAAATAATCATAAGAACATCGCCCTATCTCTACCCATACTCTGAAAATCCATATCCCAATATAATAGACATTGTGAGTTATATAACAGTTTCAAATCTGTTGAAGCGCGTCATATGGACGACATAGAAACTAGCGCTAATCCTCGTTGGGATGATGACTGGCGACATAAATATGCTAATGGCTTAGACCAACTTGTAAGAGTTAATAATGCTAATGATGATGTCGTTAGAACAGCAGGTGAATTACCAACAGGAGCAGATGCCAAAGATTACACCGACCATAACAAACGGGGTAAAATCTCCAATCGTTATACTCGTCACTCAGTCAGTGGCATTCGTAAAGGTGAATATTTTAGACTCGGTCATCAGTTTAAATGTGGTTTCCTAGAGAATAATTATTATTTACCAGTAAGATACGCACCGTTAGAAATCGAATTAACAATCGTTTCAGATGCCGATGAACCAGTGATTAAGGGAGTAAGTAATGCCAGTGCTACTACTATCGGAGGTGATAGAGGCGGTGCTTATTTTACCGAAGGAGACACCACGACAAAATTGCAACTTAACAATATTATTTTAAGGGCAGAAGTTGTTCAATTAGACAGTGCCGTAAATAATAATATTACAAGTCATTTATTACAGGGTGGTTCATTAAAAATTGTCTATCCTATGTATCACACCTTAACACAATCATTCAACGCAAATGGAACTGAGATTAACATGAATGTCGTAAAATCGGCGAGTAAGTTAAACGGTGCTTTCATTACCTTCTATAGAACTCAAAGAGGTAATCATTTAACAAACGGAAAAGAAGACAATTATTATTTACCTGATAACTATGTTAATAAACGATTTAATTATGTTTATAATCCTATGATTAACTCAAGATTTAACGACCGTGGCGTTAATGCTACTGGTGCTGATGCTGGTTATGGGTTTGCGGACAAGAATTATAATATTTCGTGGCAGGTTCAAATAGCGAACAAAAAATATCCAGAATTTGAAAGTCAAAGTTTAGCAGAACACACGTATTTCTTACGTCGTATGTTATCATACATGAACCCAGACCAAGACGCGTGTAGTATTACTTATGAACAATATGCGACAAACAAATTTATTATTGGTAGAACATTTGAAAAAATGAACGAGCAAAATTTAACAGGAATTAATACTAAAATGGGCAGTTTAATGACTGCTAAAATCAAACCGTATAAAACACTGACAGAAAATGAATTGATACAGGAAATATTTGTGCATCTCATATCTGAAAACGTGATAGAAATCCGCTCAGATGGGGCGGTTGTTTACGACTAACGAAGTTAATCCTAAAGGGCTATGCCGTTTACGATTAGATGCTATATCGTTTACGATTAATTAATATTATTATCTAAATCATAATAATATTAATTATGAATAATCAATCAATATCTCTAGATGGTTCAAGTGTAGTTTATGCTACAGAGTTTATAAAAGTTAGTGAGACTGGCACATCACCAATACAGCAAGACTTTGCTACAAAAGATTATGTTAATAATGAATTATCAAATATTAACATTCAAACAGGAGGAATAACCCAAGGACAATTAGATACTCAATTTGCACCAATCATAGCACAAAACGCAGGACAAGATTTAGTAATTACTGATATTAATAATAATTTAATCAACAACTTTCAGACAACGACACAACTAAACACAAATTTTTATAATAAAGCACAGGTAGACAGTGCCATCGCCGTAGTAGATGGTAAAGCACTTGCTAATAATACTAATATCCTTGCTATTAATTCAAATTTAGCAACTAATTATAAGAATAATACACAACTTAATAATGATTATTATACGAAGACCGAAATTGATAATACAGTATTAACACCTTATGCTACAAGGGCAACACTAACAGCAAATTATCCGACAATAACACAGTTAAATTCCAACTTTTACAATAAAACCGAAATTGATCATACAATATTAACACCTTATGCTACTACAGCAACATTAACATCAAATTACCAAACGAATAGTCAATTAGCGACCAATTATTACAATAAAGGCGAGGTGGATACATTAATATCCGGAGCAGGTGGTGGCGTGTCTAATCCTATTGAATTAGTAGATGCTAATACAAATATTGAAAGATATGTTAATTCTACAAAAGTTAATACTTCATTAGATTTAAGAACAGACCAAGAAGCAATACGATTAGTTTTAGGAGGTGCAAGTGATGGAGATACTGATACTTATTTAGAATGTAATAATATTACTGGAACAACAATGATACATAAACCGTTATGGTTAAAATCAAACATTAATATGGATGGTTCATTAATGAATGTATTTAATAATGATGGTTTTGAATTCTTTAAAGCAACTACTGACGCCAGTAATGTTGTAGCGATTGCTAATAATACTGGAAAATTACGATTTAGAGGATTTAGTATTGATGCATATACCCCTAGTGATACATCACAACAATTATTTTTAAATATGAATAATTCAAATGCGGTAAGATGCAACAAGCTAGGCATCGGGACTAATGCAGTTGTAGATATTCTCAATGTGGGCGGGGGCAATTCTAATTTTAGGGTCCGCCCCCGACGTTTGCCCACCTTCTTCTTGCACATGTCTTGCAGTGGTTGCACATGTCTGCAGATGTTGGTTCCCGCTTTTCTTCCCACCATCAAGGCGTTCGTGTGCGCGTTGCAAGCAGCCCAGGGGCCAACCATGTTAACGTCCACTCAGACCTCATCCGTTCCCACGCATCCTATGGGCCAACCATGATAACTTCCACTCCGACCTCATCCGTTCCCGCGCATCGAATGGGCCAACCATGATAACGTCCACTCAGACCCCATCCGTTCCCGCATAGCACCCGGGCCAACCATGAGAACGTCCACTCAGACCTCATCCGTTCCCACGCATCCAATGGGCCAACCATGATAACGTCCACTCAGACTCCATCCGCTTTCGGAAAGCATCCTTGGGCCAACCATGATAACGTCCACTCAGACTCCATCTTTTCGCAAAGCATCCAATGGGCCAACCATGATAACGTCCACTCAGACTCCATCCGTTCACGCAAAGCATCCACGGGCCAACCATGATAACGTCCACTCAGACCCCATCCGTTCGCGCGCATCCAACGGGCCAACCATGCTAACGTCCACTCAGACTCCATCCGCTCACGCGAAACATCCAATGGGCCAACCATGATAACGTCCACTCAGACTCCATCCGTTTCGCAAAGCATCCATGGGCCAGCCATGTTACAACGTCCACTCAGACCTTATCCGTTCCCACGCAGAGCATCCATCCCCCGTGAAAACGCCAAAATGCAACCAGCGCGTTTGCTGACCCTGCCAGCATTTCGTCCACTTCCATCTTCAGAACTCAGCAGTTCCGTGACTTAGTTTCCCGAAGCAGCAAATAACGATTAACTGCACCATGCTGTGTCCCCCGACAGTTTGCCACACGAAAGTGTGGGCAAACGTCGGGGGCGCACCCTAATTTTAGTTCAACAGTTAGATTTGGTGGTGCTACTACGTTTAACAACAAAGTTTTAATTAATAGTAGCGGTCGTATATATCAACAAGCAACAACAGGTAATCCAACTAATTTTATATCCATAAATCAAATGAACTTTTCACTGCAAGGAAATAGGAACGCTAACCCTCAACCAGATGAAATTCAAATACAACTGAATACTTCATCAGGAATAACATTAAATAAAGCGACAACTTGTAATGAGACAGTAAATGTAGTGGGTAAATTAACGGCAGAGAACGAGTTTGAAGTTGATTTTAATTTTACAGGAACACCAGAGTTTAGAGTTGCTAATTAATGATATTATATATTTGTATGGAACTAAATTTCAAATTACTAATACAACAACAGGGGGAAATGTTGAACGAATATATATGCGAAATAATGATTTTGACGGTGAGATTTATCTACAAATACAAAGCACAGACATTTTTAAGGTTGATTCATCAGGTATAAGCGTTATTGGGGATGTTAATTATAGTGGTGTTTTAACAGATACATCAGACCAGAGACTAAAAGATAATATTAATGAAATTAATCAAAAGGAAGCAGTAGATGTAGTTAAATTTATTAAACCTAAAACATATATTAAAAAGGATACAAAAACAAAATGTGTTGGTTTCATTGCTAATGATTTCAAAAATGATAGCATGCCTGAAGAATGGAGTAATATCGTTCTTGATGGTAAAGATGGTTATTTACGGATGGACTACACAAAAACAACACCGATTTTATGGAGTGCCTTACAACATTCATTGAAAGAGAATGAGGAAATGAAAAAGCCCATATCTTATTTAAAAGGTGAAATAACAAAATGAAAAAATAAGTATAATTAATGATTAAACTATTTAATGAAAAAGTTGAAAAGAAAATACATATTAAAATATTTAGTTTAACAAAGAAATATTCAAAAGAGTTATTGATATTGTATTATAGCTCTTATAATTGGAGAGAAATAACAAAGGTTAAAGTTAAAACAGAGGAATTATTAATAGATTTAGGAATTATATAAATACAAATATATGGGAAGTAAAATTTCAAAAGGTGATAATGAGAATGATTGTATTAATCAAATAAGCAATATAAATGAAAATGATTTAGATTTGAGTAATATTGATAAGCTACAGATTAAAGCATTAAAGGAAATAATAAAAGATATGAAAGAAGTAAAAGAAAAAAGAGTGATAAAATATATTATAAACTGCCACCTATTAGTTTATGTAATTATTCAATAATATAAAATATTAATAATATTATTGAAATAGTATTCTTAATTTTCCTCATTATCAACTTCAAAGCGTTTTTCAAATCGTATGTGAAACATATTATTAACATCTTTAGCGTTAGTGTTTATATATAGAAAAAGAATATGGAGCATCATTTATTGCCTGTTGATACATGTCATATAAAGTTTTTTTATCAACTAGTGCGCTGTTTTCTTCTAAAAAGCTATTGACTTCATTCATATTCTTCAACCTAAATATAAACAACGCGCTAGCATTCAACCTAATTATCGGCGCTAGGACATTGTATTTCTGAGTAGACAATACGCACGAGATGGCGTTATGTCTTCCGCGAGTAAATAAACCATGCAAAATGTTTGAATATCTAACGAATTTAGGGTCGTCTGCGAAATCATCAACAACAATCAAGATACTGAACAACTCTTTTTGTTTGTTCTTCTTTTGAAAATCAATGACCCTGTGCTGTGTTTCTATCAACTTCTTCAATGCTATCGGGTCGTATTCTTCATAATAAAGTTTTTCTTTTTCTGTGTCCACCTTCATTACGTCGGTTATGTATTTCTTAACTGGTGTCCATGTGTCATCAACATTAACCGTCGGCGAGAAAATATATATTCTTTCAAATGAACCACGATAGATTTTTAATATTAGATTTTGAATGAGAACAGTCTTTCCACGAGTTGAAGAGGCGACACATAACTTCCTAGCAGGCAATTTGGGCATCATATCATATTTGCTATTTTTATATGTATATTCGGGTATGTCTATAGGTTCTACTTTAGGGATATCATCACTCATTATAATTAATAAGAAAATATCACTATAATTATATACATGGAAACGAACTATACTGCATATATTCAAACGATTGAAGGTATAGAAGCAGTTCAGGAAGAGGTCATAAAAGACAAAAGAACGAGAAGATGCTGTATTTTAACATTAGAAATAGTTAAAACAATCCTTCAATATTTTGAAAATGTTAAAAATACAGTAATTAAGAAAAAGATTAAATAAATTATATATAAATATTTTATAAGTTGATATGACAGATAGTGCCCCCAAACACTGGACAGTTTGCAATTACCATAAGCATATCATAAGAATGTGGTAATGGTTTAATTAGTTTGTTTCGTGCTTTTGGAAGAAGGAGAAGAAAATCCCCAGTGAAACCCTGCAGTTCCCTATAAATGTTCTAATATTAATTAAAATATTAGAAGATTTACATTTTGTCTAACCATGACTAGAGACTAGACTTTTTTGTATTTCAAGATGGAAAGGAAATTATGTAAATCGTGCTGTGCATCAAATGGTGTTGAAGAGTTCGACGGGTTTAAGACGTGTAATATATGCCGTAAAGCGAAAAGAAAATGCTATGAGAAGAACAAGAATGAATACAATCAAATAAGGAGAGAGGAGAGAGCAAAGGGAAGCCGATTATGTGAAAACTGCGGGCACAGAATAAGACACGAGAACTGGGATGCCCATTTTCATTATGCATTACACCCGAACTCAGAATTAAATGTATTGATGAAAGGGTATTTTAGAAGGCTAGGAGACTTAAAAAAGCAAGGTAGACTAAGCGATGGAATACAAGAGCAAATTAAGGCGGAATACAACAAACACAAACTGGAAATATGCAAACGATTAAACAAACAGTTTCCTAACAAATTTGTTGATGAAGAGGAAACAGTAGAACCAACACCTGATCCTGAACAACATAAGCCAGATATAGATAGAGTATTTAATCACGTTCATCAGTTGCTAATGAACGATGAGTTTCTCGAAGATTACTTTCTGCTATTTGGCAAACACAAAGACCGAATTATCATTGAAATTCCTGTTGATGTTGCCCAACCGAAAGCAACGACGGCAGACACCTAAAAGGCATCATCTGCTTCGCTATATAGGATAATACATTTTGTCAATACAATGAAGTTATAATCCTTAGGTTATCACAAATTAGAACTTCATTATGGATCTTACTTACAAATCAGTAGAAGATGGCCATTTCCATTTAGGTTTATCATAGGGTATCGGGGATGTATGATGGGTAATACGGATTTCAAGGGGATGAGTAGAGGTAGGGGGGTGTTCTTGTGATTCTTTGGATATTCATGGGGGGGGGGTACACGAATTGTGAAAATTAGGGTGATAATGCGGGGGCTTGACGATACTATAACCTAAATGGAAATGGCCATCGCTAACTTACTTCGGTTGTTCATGTCCATTGGTCTTCTGCAAGAAGAGCAGCTTGAAGCGCAGCCTGGCACTCCGAAGCGACCCATTCCTGGAGATCCACCCCGAGGGAAGCTAGGGCCTTCACCACTCACCATTCCTACAGAGACCTCAAAACTCCTCTGCATGCACCTCATGCCTGCTAATCTTCCAAGGGCGTCGGCACTGTAGTCTCTAATGCTCAAACTCGGGCCTGAGGTCACTGAGGTCACTGTCATGGAATCAGTGATTTCCGGACTTTCTCCCAGGCATATTGACCTTCCATCAGATTACCTCCTGCAGCCTTGCACACACTGAGCACCACAACCCCCAACACACCCGAACAAGCCAGAAAGAACTTGAAACCACCAGCATTAATAGCTGGTGAAGTGAAGTTTAATGCCAATCGCAAACGCAACATCATGACAGCAGCAGTTGAATGCACCTTCTCGATGCCCAGAAGGTTTGCAGTGAAAAGAAAATCAACATCTTACCTAAACTTGAGTCCCCATCCCTGGCTTTCGCTACCCTACCGGAAGCTCTTGCTCAAACCACACAACATCTCAGTGTCGACACATTATGTCGATGGGTGCAAGTCATCATGCTTTGCTGCCAGTGCTTCTTCGCTGCCACTCGCCCGCATTTCTTTGGCGGCAGGCGTGCTTGCTCTTTGGCAGCATTGGGTCGCTGTAGGTGCTGGCTCGCACCGTCAGCCGCAGACCACAAGCAATGTGCATGGACTGGAACACGATTGCGGTACTGCCGTGAAACTCGGGCTTTGGTGCGAATGGTGTTCGGCTTCGCGACGGTAGACGTGTGAATATCTCGCCTCAAACACCAAAACCTCGCAGGATGGAAAGAGGACTTGCTGGGCCCACGTTAGCTCTCCTTTGCGGTATCTTGCGGTCATAAAGATGCTGGGACCAGCTGCACAGCTGCGCCTGCTCCCGTTTCTTGTCATTGGCTTTGTGAAACTCTCCGCGGTCACACGCGGACGGCCTCGGCATCGACCTGCAGTGTGCAGGCTTAGCAGCTGACGTTTTTTCTCGGGGTACCTGCCTTTCGGTAGCCCGGTGCTGCGAGCAGCTGCAGAAGCTCTGCCTGGATGCTCTTGTCACACCTGTCCTCAGCAAGAAGAAAACTTGGCAGCAGATCTGCAGCCCGGTCCTTCGCTCCTTGGCGGTGAAGCCCGTCTCATCCTCACATCCCCGGAAATACAGAAACAAAGGGGGACGACTGTGCAGCGACGACTGTGCTGCCTTACACCATGGGACAGCCCCATTGGTCAGCAAGAGCTGGGCAACATTCAAGTGGCCCTCGCGACGTCAAGGCAGTCGCATTGAGACACGCAGCAATTGGCAGAAGCTGATGAGCTTCCTCCTCCACTGCCAGCATTAATGGCGTGGAGAAATCGTTCCTGCCCGGTTGGCTGGCATGCCTGCCTGGGCCTACCTGTCACGCTGCACAGATGCTGCCAAGTCGCAGGGTACTGTTGATGTCGCAGCCCTGCTGCAGAAGAAACTTGCACACCTGAGGTCCCGGAACCCCTCAAGATTGAATCGGCCCTCTAGGCCCTACTCTGTCAGTGCGTGCAGCAGCACTGCCGCCTCTAGCTGGCCGGAGGCCGCAGAGTAATGCAGGGCACTCCAGCTGTGGGTATCCACCGCATTGACGCCTTGGCCACACAGTCCCAATTGGGCCGTGGGATGAATTCACTACAAGTACCGCAGCCGTAACGGATGGGTGAGCAGACGGACGGTGCTGAGACATTGGCTGGCACCTTCTGCGACAGATCTCTCCACAGCCTGCTGCGAGTGATTGTGCGAAAGCCTCTCTCGCCCTTCGCTGTCTCTGCTGTCCGGAAATAACCTCACTTTTTCAATCAGCTTCATTCTTCATTGAACCCCTTGCATGCGCGTCTCTGAGAAGTCTCGAACCGGACGATGCCAAGAGAGCTTCGAAAACACCGGCGGATTTCGTGCAAACTCCTTGGAAGTTTGGAAAGGCACATAACTCGTGCCAGCAAGATCGTTTGCAGCTTCCCGCTTTCTCGCAACGAAGGCAAGCCGTGTAAAAGGGTTGCATCTGGCACATCCTGCGTCGACTTGCAGAAGGCATCTGCTCCTGTACAAGGGTCGTCCTGACATGCTCCGCGAAGAAACGGCTGCAAGGTGGGGTCCGGATCTTGGTGTCCCTCCCCTTTCTTGCAAGCATTGCCAGTCAGTCCAAGATAAAAGGCTGTGGCTCTGTCTTTGTCCTCTGTGTCCGGTTGTGTGTGCTGTTGCCAGGTTGGCGGGGCTGCAGGCCGAACGGTGCTTCTTTACAACTTCGCAACTCTGGGGCGTCCATGACAACCGAGGGTGCCTGTCTACTCTACTGCGTCCATCGATGACCCTCCTCTTTAGGGAAACGCGCACTTCGTTGCAAAGACTCGTTGTTTTGTTCAGGCTTTGCTGCCTGTGAACCTCAGTCAGAGGTATCGCCCTGCAAGCAGCTTCCCTTGACAAATATCTTGATTGACGCTGGTCCTTGGGCTCACATGCCTCTCACATGAGTGTGTAAATTGTGCTTCCTCGAGGGGCTTTGCCCGACAAGAAAGATGCGTGTCGCAGGCACTGGTGCTCTAGAAGAACAAATCTCGAGCACGGACAGAGATTGGGCAGAGAAAACCCATGAAAAGCCCACGATGCCCTCGAAGCATGGCACAGGGCAGTGCTGCACGGGTGTATTCCTTACTTTTGATCTGGCTGCTCCACAAACACCGAAACCGAGCAGCAGTGAGAAGCGTCAGATGCCATCGGCGCTCCTGAGCAGCACTGCAGCACGCCGAATGTCTCGGAGTTTGCACGGATGCGCAGTCGGTGCCTGGGTGTGGGCCTCAGTTGCACGCTGGTGCTGTGGCCCTGCATCGAAGCCTCAGGGGGCCGTGAGCCGGGCGGGCCGCTGGAGCCCTTTCCTCTCAGCAAACACGGCCTCGGCCAGCTCCACGCAGGGCGAGCACTCCAATTCGCGGGCCTCGGAGTCCTCCGAGACTGGCACAGGGCTGCGCAGTTTTCTTGGCTTTTCTTTGCCTTCTCCCCGGAGGTGAGCAAAACCATGCCGACCTAGCAGAAGGGTGTGAGGATACTGTGTCATATGTTCCCGAATAACCGCCGGCTGCAAGCAAGGGGCCATCATGAAGAGAATGCAGGCGATGTAACCGGCGAACTTCCACCACGGAGCGTTTTCCATCTCTGATAGCACCACGATGGCGCTCAAGCCTGCTCTAAACTCGGCTGCATTTCGCGTGTCACGTGATTGAAAGCACTATTGCGACGTCGACACTGTTGGTGGCGATGTTCGAGCCCATGTACACCTCAAAGCTGGGATTCTGGAATAGTCCAGCGGAAGATGAGCACGACACTCTGAAGTTCAAGACGAGCTTCTGTCACCATGAACAAAGCCTCGTGCTGCTGCATGCCTCTGGAGATGTAATAGAGGTTGCCTGGGGTCGGCAATGCTAAAAAGTACAAACAACTCTTGGGGAAAAGAAATCTGACCACTGCCACCAATCCTTTAACTGGCCAGGCGTCTGGTCGAAAAGAAAATGGCTCCACCGAGACAAGCCCAGGAGACCCAATGGTCCCAGGCATCGCCTGGACAAGTGAGGCATCCGTCTCGGGTATTTCTTCGTTTCGCACCGTTCAAAAACTTGCACTGTCAATAGCTAAGGCTTTGGCAGCTCCCTTCTACGCACTGTCCTGCGCAAGGGCCGGCACAGGGGACTAATCATACGACGCTTGACTGCTTGACTTCTGGCCTGCCAGTGTTGCCGTGATCTTCGTGCACCACATGTTACCTGACAATGGCTCCGAGCTTCAAGAAGCGTTAATACGGGTACCCGGGTACTAGTACACCGAGCAGGGGGGATGGTTTATGGAGAATCGTGGGGGCCAAGTGGCCAGCGAGGGAGCCTGCCGTCGCTCCGAGCGAGAAGCCCCTGATCGGAGATCCCCGTTCGTAGCGCGTTTGGATCTCGGCCCAGGCTCCACACAAAGTTGCTATTCTCCTTCATTTGCTCCAAGATCCGGGCTGTCACGTTCCACAAAAACCTCGCACCAGAAGAAAGGAGTGATATGTCTCGCAGCTCCGACACTAAGGTCCCGCTGCCCAAGGTCCCCGCCAAGCCAGAAAGCAAAGGCCATAGAAGAGGGTGCGGTTCTGTAGCAACACCGTCTCCACATACTCGGTCGTCCACTCGACCTGGCTTCGGATTAGGGATTGGTTCGCGCCGCCCGTCGCCCGTTGGCTGCGGATGTTCCCCGGCCTGCTTGATCGGTCTGAAAAGCACCTCAGATGCCAGGGGGCTTGACAGTATCTCCGTCTCCTGTTCCGGGCGCCTGGGAGCCTAGACGAGCCCAGATTCTGGCAAGACTCCGAAGCGGTTGCTGCGAAGAAGATCATGCAGGTGCTGAGTAGCCTCGAGCTCGAAGCCCCTCTGCTCAGGCCACAAAGCTACCTTCTCACCTTCTGGGCCTTTCAACCCGACAAGACCCCCCCATTCCTTAACCGACCTCCGCGAGGTTAGCTTCTCACCCAGAGAGCACCTGCACGAGCATTCTTGCCATCGCAGCGCAATGCAATGATGCGCATCCTAATCTGCAGGGACTCTTCATGTCTGAGGCGCGGAGCGATCACCGTGTTCCAGACCTTTAGGAATGTGGTCAATGTACAGTGCAGTGAAGGCATGTGCCAGATCGCGGCAGCAGTCTCTGCCCGAGGAGTTCGGATTCTGCAAGCTATAGACAGGCAACAGGAAGCTTCGAGGTGATTAGTGGTCTGTAATTGGCCGCAACTGATCCTAAACAGATAGCTCTGGCCTGCAAGCCTGAGTGGCAGCTCTTGCAAGCAAAGTTGCGATGTCCATTCCCGTCACCGGCGCAATCACCGTGGCCGGCGCCTCTGGTTGGAAATTTGGGTTTCCGGGAGCCTGGTCCTTCAACCTGGATTGCTGCAAAGGCACCAAAGCATAGCCGGCCATGTCGCACAGTGGGTTCAAGGCCACCTGCAGCATCAGGCCTGCCAGCTCAATGCAGCTTAAATCGCCCTGCCGAGGCATTCTGAGGCCCCAGCCCACATAGAACAAGATGGCGCTTTCGCCTTGGAATCCGCGAGGCTCGAAGCTCTGGCTCTCGGCGCAGGCTCCCGCAGGATCTCACTGCAGAGGCTTTCACGGTCTTGCTTGTCCTGTCTCAACGACGCGCTGACAAGTAAAAGCGAGTCTGGCGGTGGTATGAAGCTGCACCGCACCTGTTTGTACATTTCTGCGCGGCGAATCATCTGTTTGCCGATTGTGCCCACCTTGCTGTGGCGGCCGATCTGATGAAACAAATCTCGAACAGTCATCTCAGGGCTCGGCCAGGGTGCCAGCCACGGCCAGGGCGACCTGTAGGTGTTTGCTTATGTCTAGAAGATGTCTGGCGGTCTAGCAGGGATCGGACTGGAGGCTTCAGAACGGGGTTGAGGGAGGGGTTGAGGTGTGTTTTCGTCAGTGCTGCAGTGTTTCGCAGTGGCAGGTGTGAGTGAACGCAGGCATAAAGGGCGCGCAGGAGTGCGTCAGATCGCAGCCAACGAGACCGTCCTGATGAGCTGGGCGAACGCATCACAGGAGCGTTTCTGCTCACTCGAGGGAGAACGAGCTGTTGCGCGTGTGGTGTACGCGGCCCCGGGAAACCGTTGATCGCTGCCATCGCAAGACGCAAGACAGCGGTGTCTTTTCCGGAAGAGGCCAGGGGCCAGGGCTTGCTTCTTCTTACCGAAGCAGGATGTCCGACGAGCAACGTGCTTTAGTTTTGGCCAAGACGATCGGTGATTTGAAGTTTTGACACGTGGCTCGGGAGATGCGGTCGCGCCTTCCCGGGATAGCAGGATCCTAGGTCAAAGGCGTTGGTCTAGCGAAGGCTCCGTCAAGCCAGAAGACTTAGCCCGAGGCTGAATGAAGAAAGAAAACCAGGAACTCTCTACCAATCTGGTAGGCTTGTATAAGGCTCAAGCCATACTTTGTTTAAGAGCTCCTGGGTGCAATGCTTCCATCCTTCTGGCCTCAGATAATGTGTTTAACAGGTTAGGGAGATGCCAGGGATTCGAGTACGAGTGTTCCCGAAAGGAATGACCTGTGGTCAGACACAGGGAACGGAATGGCTCCACAGCGAGGCAGGAAAACGGTCAGGCCGTCCTTCCCTTGGCGCGCATGACGAGGGGGGAGTGCGTGAGACGCTTCAACCCTGTGCATAGGTGAGTACGTTATCTCGACCAGGCTGTTTTGGGCTGACAAAGACGGAGTAAGGTGCGCCCCTCTTGCAGTGTATAAGTCTAGGTAGGTGAAGCACTAGCGTTCATAACATCGGGGTTAGACTTTTCTCTTTTGGGACGTAGTCCCCCGTTCACACGTACCTTCACCAAGCAGGACACAAGGAGATGGCCACGGAGATCATGACTGAGACTTCCTGTTGGGAGAGGGTGAGAGCATCTGGCGTGATACGGCGATGAGCGGAATTCACTTTCACCCTGGGTACTCAAAAACGCGTCGGTAGAGTCGACCGAGCTCACTGTGCTAGAAGGAGGAGCGGCGCCAGAAGGAGTGGCCGCCTCGACAGCAACGTCAGCGGCCTTAGCACGCTCGACGACATAATCGTCAGCCTTGGCGAGGAGTTCCTCCGCCCTCTGCAGCGTCTCCTTGAAAGCCTTGGAGGCTTTGTGGTGCTCCATGACCATCCCCGAGAGGCCATGATTGGCGTCCCCCCGTGGTGTTTGGCTTATTGTGCTAGTGTGCTCGCCTGCGTGAGATTCCGACCGATGGCTCCTATGCAGGATCTTTGCGGCGATCCTCCGAGCCCTCGTCTGTCTCCGCATGCTGCCATGGCAACTTCTTCCCGGACATCGAGAGCCTGGATCAGTGGGGCCGCACGGCACTTTCCCTTCGGCAAGTATGCTGCGCTGAAGGTCAATCGCGTTTAGGGCCGCTCCTATATCACACGGTGCATATGCCCTGCAATACCAGCAGAAGAGACAAACTTCAGCACCCTGCGAACTACCTCATTGAGCGTCGACTCTCCTCGGAGCCCCGCTACCTGATTCTTTTTCTCGCGACTCTTCAAGAGTGCAAAGCCACGACGGTGGTCATGGTGACGTGATCTAGCATGAGGAGGACGCTCGCTTCGGCTGTTGCTACCAAAGTGAGGAGGCTTTGCAAAGGCAACAAAAGAGTTGCTGAAGATTTGATAGTATAGTGTTTTCGACACTGCTGCTCTGTATCGCAGTGGCAGATGTGAGTATATACCTGTTGCGGGGATGGCACTACAAGCTTCAACTGAAAGATTGGCTTGAGGCTTGGTGGCCTTGAGGTCTGCTGTGCAAGGTCACAAGGGTTAGGGCCTAACGATTATGATTAGGGTCAGGGTGTATTGTGCGGTGCAATAGTTTTTTGATCGTGGGTGCGAGCACAACTGCCCGCGCTCGCAGGACGCTTATGTCCAAAGGTGAGAATTCCCTGTTTGCCCAGAAAATCTGGAATTAGTCTGTAGCGATCTTATTGGGTGGGCACTTCAAAACTGCCACCCCTTATAACCAGGGTTATAGGTTATAACCGATATGGCGACTGCCAATCAAGGGACCTTCGCAGAATAGCTCAGAAAGCAAATACCTGCGATGCGTGCTTTGCGAAACACCTTCGATATCCTTCGATGGTTCAAGGAAACATCTTCTGCTGCTAGCTAGCATACACGTACCTCGGCCTGAATGTGGACTGGGGCTTAAGGGTCGCTGGACAGAAACAGAGCTTAAGGCCGCCTGCTTCTTGTGAACATGACTCCAGGCGACTGTGTCCCCAACTCCCAGCAACCAGTACTCGCCGCCGGATGGGGGCGGTGTTGCCATCTGCGAGGCCTCGGTTATTGGCAGATCGTGAGGCTCGTGATTTCATGGCCGGATGTGTGAATGCAGGCTTCGTGCAAGGATGATCATGAAGGCGTGGATGCAGACACGGATACAGGGACAAACAAACGGATGTAAAGCATGTGCGTTGGCAACATCGCACCAGAAGCAATAAACGTGTGGAGATGAGGTGTCGATGGAATCTGTTGCGCTGGAATGAACCTTCTATGCCGAGCTGCAGTGACCACCTGCGACAGGCTTTCGCCAATGCCTGTAGCTCTCGCGACGTCAGCTTCGAGGGGCGGCTGTGGCGAAAGGCCAAAGAAATGCCAAGCGGCCCTCCATTCGGGCTCCAGCCTCGGGCCTCTCCATGGCACGGGGCTGCGGGTCGGCTGATGCTCCAGTGCTGCCCTGAGAGCCTGAGGAATGCTGAGGACTTCAGGGTTTCTTCCATGTTTTTTTATGGAGCATGGCATTGCAGTGCAGGCTCCAGAAGTGCTGCATGGAGCCACAGAAAGGCAGCGGTTACCCGATCAGGCGTGAGGATTCCGGCAGTCATCTCTTGACTCGGGCATCCTGTGCCGACAAAGCCGCGAGAGCCTCCAAGTCTCCCTTGCGGGCTGCTTCCAGGAGCCTGGTGCCGCTAGGATCCTTTCTTTAGGTGGGATGTAGTGACTAGTGCTGTGGGATGCTGTGTCGACATTATAGGAACAGGAATAGCCTCCGAGGCGAATTGAACTGCTGGGTTTACGTTTCGCCTGACAGCAGGCGTCTCGACGACATCCTGAGCTGCTTCCAAGATTCGGGATACTACAGGACCTACGGCCGCAACATGCCGCACGGGACGTTGCGTCGGCGTAGTTGCTCATCCCGCTTTTGAGGCTTCCAGTTCTGGCACGTCAGGGCCCTGAGCCCTGAGCCTCCCGTCTCCTAAACGCACCAACACCGCTACGCTAGATGGAGTCACTCGCTTCATCGCAGTCTTGGCTGTCTAGGTCAGTGATGTCAAAAACACTTAGCTGCATAGCTGCGTGCCTGGCATTCACCACGGGGAGCCCGGACTCTGCGTTGATGCACCTCCGACACCTGCAACGCAAAGCAAAACTCCTTGCCTTCTGTTTTACAGAGACTCTGTGTCTCGGGATGCGGCTCAGTGCTATAGACGCTGCAGGTAGCTCCCATGGGTCAAAGCATGTTGGCACAAACAAAGCTCCACTCTGAATTCTGCTGGAACTTTCGCGTGCGAGTTCGGGTACGGCCTGTATGCTGTATCGGAACGCGCTAAAGTCCAGTGCGACAGCAAATGCCCTCGAACTGCTGCAGGACGAACTTAAACTGATGCAAAGAGCTCATGCGATGTGCTGCGGCTCTGCGGCTAGGCTGTCAGGGAGTGCTTCTGTTGTGACCTGCGAGCATCTACGAATTTCCTCCGAAGCGGACGTGAATACGCGGCAGATGGCGGATGACGGATGGCAGTAGATCTTGGCAGTGCTCTATTTTGCAACCCCTTTGCCTCTCCCATGCAGGGAAAAGGTCAAAGCGTTCGTGAAAGCCCTGCATCTGTTCGGAACAGCCATCGGAGCCGAAGCGCTGTGAGGGCAGTGGGGTGTGGCCTGTGTCTTGCCATGTCTTGCCCATCTCGACTTCGTCAAGCTGGTTCCGTACTTCAGCAGGCATACTGGTCTCGGCTTGTCAGTCAGAGGCCTTCACGTCAGGTCAATCTGACAGACAAGTGAAAGGGATGCTTTGGAGTAGTAAATCGTGCAGCAGTAATAAGCAAGTGCAGCGCGCTCTATGCTTCCCCACTGTAGGTGCTCTCATTCATCATGCTGCATGTTGCCATCAAGAGTTCTGTCCGCTCTCTACCCTCACTATGTCTACTCATTTGATGCTGTGTGACAGTGTGATTTCCTCTATTTGCGTTGATCAGGTCCAGGCGGACGACCAATGGCCTGTCACCACAGGCACTGTCGAAGCACTCAGCCATGATCAGCTTTGGTGTAGCATCCCTGAAGCCCTGCCTCTCATGGAAGTGGCGACAGCTGCAGCATGCAAGCTGCAACCTGGGAAGTTACACCGATGTAGGTCTCTTGCGCCAGGCATGGGGAGGGTCAGGGCCGGCCTTGCCCCAGGCGAGAAGAAATCCAATGATCCAGTCCTGCACTGAGAAGCCCCGAATGTCCCAACGCTCCCTGGCCGTGGCCTCTCACACCTGTCCTGCTCAGCACACTTCAGGGAGCTGCGCACATAAGGGAGGCAGCTCATGGGCAGCAGAGCCAACAGCACCTGGGCAGCCGATTCCGGCTCAGTTCACTGCTTTCGTAAGGGCTGTTGGGCTCCCGACGCGGCACTGAATCCTCGAGAGAGGTCCGGGAGCCTCGACAGCAAAAGGCTCTAAAGCTGTAATGTTGGTACATCCAAGGCAGTTAGGTCAGTAAGAGGTTTGTTAGGTTCCCCCGTTGAAATTCTCAAGTCCCCGAGCCTGGAGCAAGGAGAGTGGTCGCTCGACAGAAAGCTTCGACGAGACACAGCTTCGGCCCTTGCCCAAAGCGACAACCTCAGTCCAACATTCGTCCGCCATCTGCTGCAAGCGCGATTTCCTCTCCGTGGGTCCAGCCGTCTCAGCCTTGTAGCCGACGCAGACACGGGGGCATCTTAGCACCTTCATCCATAAGTGGGGAAGAGGCGAATGTGCGAATCGAGCGCTACCGCTCGCGATGGCCTCGCCAGTCGGCTTGGAGAGCTCAAGGATGTGTTGCAGAAGAACTCTCTTGCTCCTCGCAAAGCTGGCCGCAATGCCCAGAGGCTGGACAGTTCTGACAGTTGAAACTCCCAAACCAATCACTGCCGGGTCGATTTTCCTGTGAATTCTCATGTCTTTTACTTCAAACGTGCTCCTAGGCTTGTTTTCGACATTCCCAACAGTGTCTGCCATGTGTTTGACACTTTTGCTCAGCACCGTAATCGGTGAAGGCATGTAAACCAACTAGCGATGTCCTAAGTCATTGCGCGGCGCTTTCGAAAACAACAGTCACGATATCAACATTGTTCTCTTTCAGTACCAGTGCGAGATACAGCAGCTGGCGGAGGAGTATAAAGTCAGCCTTTGATTTACAGACTGCGTGTCTTATATATTCTATTTTCAGGCCTTACATATGCAAATTCTTCGTGGGGAAGATCGTTTTCTACATACGTTCCTTGGAGAGAAGCTTGGACATTCTGTACGTGATGTACGTGCTCACCTTTGTTCCTGCAGCGTGCGACACCTTTTGTACCACATCACGGAGACCTTACAAATCAAATGTCGAAAGACTGACGTACATACTACTTCGATTCAAATCACAACTCTTTTGAAGCATTGGCTCATTCATGGTGGCATATCTCCGGAGACCATGCGGCAACAACTTTTGGGAATACAAGTGGGTCTATTGGTCTGGCTTTTGCCATCAAAGGGTTCTGTTAGATCTGATTTTCACGTGTGGCATGTGTACTTTGTCGTATCTTGGATTCTCGTGCTTATGGATCTTGCACGGTTACATCACACAAAGCACTACTTAGACTTCAGGATCATGTTGCGAGTATTCCCAAAGAACATCCAGAAACACTTGTTGGTTGATGGTTTGGGGAGCAAATTTGAAAGAAGAGAAGCTAGTCTTGACTGGAAGAGGTATGTCCAAAGTGTTTGTTCGTCTTTGTGGCAACGCTCTGGTTATGGCAAGGATGCTGATGCTGTCAACTACATCATTTTCACCCCTGAGAGCCACGCGTGGTACACTGGAAAAGCAGATGCAGTTCGAATTCTCAACAAACGTGAATGGTACGGCCCTGCCGCTCGATGGCGTGATCACGTTTTCAATACGGTACAGTACAAGTCCACCCAGCATCATCAACCCCGCTACAGAGCTTGGGCTAACTGTTCTTTCCATTCCTTGCACATGGTGCCGATTACTCGTTCCTGCACTGCTGCTGTTCCTGCATATGAGCAGACGATTATCAGAACGTTACAGCCGCCTTCGCAAGCATCATCAAGTTGCACACATACATGCAAGCCCAACAGACCTCGACCTTGGCCCAGATTCCGTCAAAAGCCTGACATCGCGAAGGAAACGCAGCTCAACCTTTTGGAGTCTTTGGTTTCTCGCAAAAGTTATCATTCTCCTGACTGCAACTGGCCTTTTCAAGTACTTTTGGGTTGGTGTTGGACTTGCGAAGGCTTGTCAAGAACTGAAGTTTTCGACAGGCTATATTGGAACAGGCACATGGCTTGGTTGTTATCGTTTCTCACCATTCCGCGCAGCAGACTTGATTACACACGCCTGTGGAAGAAACCCAACGTGTTGGACTACATCTTGCAATTGTGGTTTCATTGTCACATTGTGCAGACCTCCACATACCAGCCCGCCAACGAGTGCGAGCAAAGTTGGAAAGGTTTATGCGCACTGCCAAACTACTTCCCACCCAGACATGGAGAATCCTTGTGCCCAGCAGTGGTGATTGGTACTTGTCCTGTGTTCGACGGATGCTCCCACCCATGTTCCAACAGATTGCGTCTGATTCACATGAAAGAGTGGCAGCTTATTTCCGGCAAAAGATCAAACTGGTCCGATGTAGACCTCACAATGTGTCCCGTTTATTTACAGACCAGCAGCAACAAAGCAAACTTACAATAAGAGATGCATGCACATTTCGCGTCAACTACGCAGGTTTGACCGACGTAGACAAGATGTTTGCTGGAGACCAGAACATTGGAATGTGCCATTACACGTCACTGTCCCGCAATTGCGAAAACAGGTTGAAATTCAGTTGGGTAGTTTCCTGCAGGAGATTGGGCTTGATTTCGCGCTTCCACCGAGTTCAACCATGCCAGAGCCATCCGATTTACATCAGCACGAGTTTGGTGAGCATTTGGCTGCTATTCGATTGGAGCAACCGGGAAAAGTTTTCATTCAAACAGACCGCGATATCCACAGACGCGTTTGTATGGATGAACTTGGATACCAATGGAGACTTGCATAGGGATTTGAAGGAGATAAGAAGCATTACAGGGTTCTTCGAAACACATCGCCTCAACAAGCCGCTACATGGAAGCAGCAGCTTATGGAACACTACTTGCCTGATTTCGCCAAACATGTTCGTGTGCTGCCCTCGATGTTGCCATATGCGTACCGCACCTACAAAGCGAAGTGCTTGCATAAAGATCACCCAGGTCTGTGTTGTAAAAAGCAACATGCGCACGAGAGAGAAATCATCTCCAATTATTCTGAACCCCTCAAACCGACACTACGTCGTGCGGCGCGTGCGTTCAGACTGGCAAAAAGGCTGTCCAACGAACCTGGATGGACATTATGGAATCAGAGTCAACTTGCAGAAGTTGTGCAACACAGAGTTGGTTTACTTGCATGTCCAAATGAGTGCCGACGACAGTGTCCATGTGGAAAGGCAAAGCAGATTGACATCACATGCATTCGTACTGATGCTTCCCAGTTCTTCAAAGCTGCTTCCGTCAAACGGGGATTGCAAAGGGGTTTTTCGTTCTTCAAGCGCTTGCACAAGAACACGAAGCGAACAGCAGTGGCGGTGGCAAGTGGTAAACCAGCTAACGGGCACTTATGTTTTGCAGCGAAGAGATCCAACCGGTACTACCACGTCGTATCTTTCAAACACATCAAGAAATGCTTTCAGTATGCCCTACACGATCGGAATTTTCTTCTCGGAGACACAGTTGTACAAAGGCGCACTGGTTATCCAATGTGCGGTTCGTTCAGCGAGCCCGCCACACTTGTGGACTTGGATGAGAATGTTTTTCGTTTGTACACTGAGCATCGTCCTACCACTACTAGAACAGGCTGGTCAGATGGAAACTACAGTATGTCTGAAATTATACACGGAGTGCAGCATGTGGATGATGCCATTATCATGTCTTGTATTTGGTGCTCTGACTGTCTACTTGAGGGCGTCCAGAAGCTATGGTCAGATGATGTCGGGACGACTTTGGAGGAGACGGGGAATAGCATCACGTTCCCTCATTCTAAACTTCGTTTTATGGACGGGAAACAAGTCAACATCAGCCCAAAGGTCGTCAACCAGGACTTTGCATGCGGTAGATCAGTGTCTCCTGAAAAGTCGCGTTTGGGAACTTGGCTGGGTATACAAACACATTCTCTGCAGATACTTCGGCAGTTTCTGGTTGGTCAGCTTGTTAGTTTCAACAGACTTGCACAGGGAGATCCAGCACGGGCCGATGAAGCATTCGTCTGTTTGTTGTGCGAAATCCTCGAACTTCGAGGGCCGAAGACTTGGTTATGTAAATCCTTACAGTCCTTGCCCGTAAACATCAGTCGAATTTCTTCCAGGTGGCCCGCCGCACAGGGAAGATTATGCGAAGAACTTTGCCACAGCATGCCCATCAACGCTTTGTACATATATGGAGATGCCTTCAGCTGGCGATATCCGCAATCTAGTCCGAGGTCCTCGAGTTGCACAAAAATTGTCGTGGCCGTTTGTAGGCAAAGGCTGACGCCTAGATCCCTATTCCCAAAGCCAAGTTACAAGCGAGCTGCATTGGAAAAGAAGGAGGAGCAACGGGAGTCCGAGGAGGTTAACAAGGAGACTTCGAAGCAGATCGCCAAGACCGTGAGCAACACTTTGAGTTCTATGTTGGGGATTCGTACCCATAAGCCGAAGGCCAAGAGTGAGCGGTTTGGTATCACTAAGAAGGTTCTCCGTGCACTTCCCCGCCACAGTTCCGAAGAGTCGTCTGCAAGCATGGCGGATTCCTCACGTACTTCATCTTCAAACTCATCGGAAAAAGCAGTTACAAAATCGGGCTTCTTGGGCAGAATGGTCAAAAAGCTTCATGGCAAGAAGGTCAAGAAGGGCAAGAACGCCAAGTATTCCCCCACGCATTCGCCGCTCGGTGTGACGACGCAGAAAGCTCCGTACTCAGATGCCGTGTATTGGGAAGTCGCACAGAAAGTCATCCCCAAGGGGATGTTGACATTTCTGGATTTCCGGATGGGCACAAGGAGTGGGTTGCCGAGTTGGCGGATTGTGCGGTTGGCGATCACGTGAACGTGAACAAGGTGCTGCATGACCTGAAACTTCCAGCTCTTGATGCGCACTCCATGAAGTTGAAGATCAAACTGATGCTCGACCATTTCGCACAAAAGGAGGGTGAGTGAGCCTGGATTGAAAGTATGATCTTGGGCTGCTTTCGGCGGATGCTCGTTTTGCTGCCCGGCAGAGTGAGATTGTTACTATGTTTTCCAGTGGTTCTGCTCACGATCTCTCTTGACATCCTCATCCTGTTTGTGGAGAGCATCAGTCCAATCCGTGGGCCAAACAGCGTTGCCTTTGCTGTCATCGGCGTGAGTGTGATGCTGCTGTCCTACGGCATTGGAACGCAATTTTGGGTGGCTTCTCCTATGCTGGGTGTAAGTGAGATGAACCCCATCCCTACAATCACCATTCAGTTTGAATATTCAGCCTGGGCACTTGCACGCTGGTTTATCCAACTAATCACTGCCGGGTCGATTTTTCTGTGCATTCTCATGTCTTTTACTTCAAACGTGCTCCTAGGCTTGTTTTCGACATTCCCAATAGTGTCTGCCATGTGTTTGACACTTTTGCTCAGAACCGTAATCGGTGAAGGCATGTAAACCAACTAGCGATATCCTAAGTGGAATCCTAAGTCATTGCACGGTGCTTTCGAAAACAACAGTCACGATATCAACATTCCTAACACCATCAGCTGACTGTTATTGCCTTGCAGGCAGCGATGTTGGCGCGATGTTGTGTCACAAGGCTGTCAGGTTGTCTCTTTGAGTTGATCATGCTCTTCTTGCTCTTTCTTGCTCTCGTCGACGTGTCGCCACGTTCTCGGCGCTAGGGTCTCGACGCAAACTCCCGCTTCTGCGGTGAGGGCAGGGTCATCGCCAAGAAGCGTAGCAGAGGCCACCTGGAGTGGGCCGGGGGAAAAAACATTGCGCTCTAAACTTCAAAGTCTGTCGCTCCTGCGCGCCTCGAGCGGAGGTAGTGGCGCAGCTTCAAGCATAGAAGCGAGTGAACCTCAGAACGTGCACAGACCTCCCCCAAAGCCAACCAAGACTCCTGGCCCTACAGCAAGGGCCGGGGTGCCGGCCACGAACACCGGCAAGAGTGACACCTCACGTGCTGGTCAAAGGTCACACAGCCCAACTGGAAATCCAAGACGACCCTATCGAATCCCAGTGAAAAAGCTTTCCAAGACTGGTGTCGAATGCTATGGCTGGGTCGTATAGGTATCGAAATACACAGATGTACGTTCGCATTCGCTCGGAGAATATGCATAGAATGCAGGAAGCTCACATTATGTACGCACCTGTTTCTCTATGCTGCCACGCAGCAGTGTTCAACTGCGCAAGTGCATTCTGTATTTTGGATGGGGGCGACATCATGATGCCCCCCGGATGTGTTGGTTTTGGCGATAAACATGTTCGTGTGGTTGAGGCGAGGGATGAAAGCAAATGAGAAGAGCAACAAAGCCTTCGAGGACCCCAATCTCGGACCCTGGCGTACTGATTCCGGGGACTGCGTGTGTTGTAGGCTGAGACGCTGGCTGCGCGGTCGTAGGCGCGGAGGGCCACGGGGCGACAAAAGCGAGGCGCCTCCGTCTGTGCTGCCTCGGCAACCCGGAATGCAATATCGAAGGTAGGCATAAGAGTGCATGAGCATTGCATTGTGAGTATGCAGTTCTCTGTATTCCTTCGTATCACGCTGTATCTCTCTGCTCACAAAAAACAGCACATACAACTGTTGAATTGTATTATGCATATGTGCACATACATATGTGTTCAAACACCCCGCGGCACAAATAAACAATACCAGCAAATACACACATACACATCTATATTCACACATGTGTGTATACATATATATATATATATATATATATATTTGATATTATATTTGTACATATACCTAGCAAACGTCTTAAGCCAGTTCTGTTTTCACAGAACTTCCAAGTTGTCGCTTGCAGTGCATTATTTCGAGCGTAAATGCACCTAGCTGTCCATCTATCCGTTTTCCTGTCTGTCCTTCTATGCATCTCCATCTATCCATCTCTATCTATCCATCTATCTGTTTTCTTTGTGTTTGTGCTCAGTGGGTGGGATTGGCACAGCATGTCTGTATTTCCTTCTTTTGCCGCTTGTTCATTTGGTGGACCTAAACCATCAGGAATTGCTACGATCCTGCGTCGGTGGACTTCAATTATCCCGAGTTTCGACGCCTGCCGGTGCCGCATCGGTGGAGCTTAAACCTCCTGACTTGCCTGACCATGTCCTAGCATTTTGCTTGCTGTGCCTCTCCTTTGGAGCGGCTGTTTGCGATGAGGGAGGGAGGGAGAGGGAGGGAGGCAGGGGAAGGAGGGAGGGGGCGAGCGAATATGCTTGGTTGCGAACGAAACTGCGTGTTTCCACATGCACATGTGCATACATTCATACATACATACATACACTTCTCCCGTATGCACACCTCGGCATTCTTGTGGGTCAAGTCGCAACTGACAAGTTAAATCTTTCTACCAGAGCTGTCATGCGTCGGCCTCGGTGACCCAGCTAAAGGTGTCGAAGGCATTGCTTCTGCTCTCCACCTGGCAGAATTTGGTGCCAATCCCGATCTCCCCTAGCGGCCCTAGCGTGCTCGTGAAGCCACAGCATCGCTTGAACCCTGACCTGGATGTCGCTTCTCAAGCAGGCACACCCTGAAAACATCCTGCCTCCAGCTGCAATCCGCAAAGCCGGTTCGTGAACTTGCGATTCTCTGCACGCAGCCTGAGACATTCTACAGCTGTCTGAAGTGCAAACGAGCAGACGATGTGAGACTCGGATTCTTTTCTATGTCTCACTGTTCAGCTGCGAGCTTCGAACGGAATGCTGGGCCACATGGCAACGATCAGAAGCACGTGCAGAACAGGGAGAGAGCGACAGTGAGCGAGAGAGCGAGAGTTCTATGTGTACGTATACACACATATGTATATAAATATACATATAAATGTAAAAATATATAAATAAATATATATATATATATATATATATATATATATATATAATGCACGTATGTTTATAGAGACATGTCAACACAGTACACTCATGTGCAGCTGACATGGCGGTGTGTTTATGCTTGCATGCGTCCGCATGCGTATTTTTATGTATATCCTATGGTACCATGTATATATACATATATATGAGCCCGATACCTTTAGGGTCTATTTAGCTAGCTTCTTTAATATACAATATCAAACGCTTAGCTAAATGATATCTAGCCATATCGTGAATTCTACAAACCGAAACCCGGAAAGTTTCACCCTGATTCGGACATATAACTTAATGCACAGTTTGTCAATTGTAATGACATTGTTAGACAGCCGTTTAAATTTCATACAGGTCGTCATTGTGTTACTACTACTCCTACTGCTACTGCCACGGCTACTACTACTACTACTACTACTACTACTACTACTACTACTGCTACTGCTACTACTACTACTACTACTACTACTACTACTACTACTACTACTACTATGTAATCACCAAGAATCCTATGAAACACATGTTAGAATCCAGAAAACCAATAATCCTACATCGTAAGTATTGACTATACTCCTGCTGGTAAGATTCCTTTTCAACACAATCTATAATCAGTAAAACTTCGATAATCCTAGTAAGCCTATGTCACTGCTAATTATACCGCCTGTGGCTTCTGTAATACTACTCCGAGCAAAGTAAGAGAACAACCCTTACAAACACCCATAATCATGTTAAGTATCGCCTGTAGCCCTGTGTTTAATCGTAATAAGCCCGGCCTACAACTATAAAAGCGACAATAATTGCGTGGGGATTTGATCCTGGTAATGCTCTGTATCGCTCACCCCACAAAGAGCTGTGTTGACTGTTGGCGTGGTTGCCTTCTACAAGCTGGATCACCGTCACTTCCACTTCCACACACGCACTCCTATGCAGGCAGATCCAACGTTCGCTCCTTTTGCACACTCACGGCCGGCGGTGGATCGTCTGTGCACGGGATAGCTCTGATTGCTCTGAGGATCACAAAGATAATAGCACTTTAGCTACGGGCAATGCTTTCTAGAGCTTGTGCTCATTCTTGAGCCAAACGTTGCATGGGCGGTCATACTGAAAGGATGGATAGGCATTGCGGTGTGCGTAGCACTACCACAAGCCTACTCCTAGAGACGAGGGACGCGTAGCGTGTCCCCTTCCCTTGCACTTTACATGGTCTTGCTCACAGCTCTTATAGTGACACCTTGGAACTTGACAAGGCATCGCAGTCCGTTCGCACCCCCCATGAGTTGCGTCTCCGACGCTGCTCACCCGGAAGATGGCACGATAGGAAGGTCAGAAAATTTGTTCCGCCGCAACGTTAATGTATAGATCAGAGCTTTTGCATCCCAATTAGAAACGTTGTGACACTCATCTACGTCGGTAACGATCCCCTGAAATGGCAAACGAATCAGGCGTCACTGAAGAAAGAGGCATTCGCGATGGAATTCCACGTGCGAAGCACAGAGGTCACAATCTTGAAGATGAGGTAGATCATGTGTTGTCTCACCGCCATCTTCGCATTGGCGTAGCATCGCGGTCCCAGGGCCGGAGGTTCTCCTCTGGATACTGGTTCCTCTGCTTTCCTTTGTCCTTGCCTTTGTTTCGGCCTTTGCCGGCGATGTAGTCGTGGTAGGAATTGGCGTTCCAGCCACCATGTTGCTCGTCTCCGGTTCTCTCACGCCCTTTTGAAGGTCCCTTTGCCGAAGAAGCGCTTGCACGTTCCTCCGTGGTGACGGGCGTGTCCATGATGGAAGTACCACCCGGAGGGAGATACTCTTCAGCCGAGATGTGATGTAATGCTTCGGGACGTCGAGTATTCGGATTTTGCTGTCTTTCAACTCTAGACTTGACCAATCTGTCCATGAAGTGCGCTGGCATTTGCACGTTGTGGTCCACCAGCAATCCAACGGTCTGGACGGAATAGTCTGCATGAGTCAAAAGGATGCCGACCGGGTCGATGTACAGAAAGTCCACTGGTCCAGTTGGCGTGTTTCGTAGTACCGAAAACTGTTGATGTCCTGTCACCATCGGGATAACTTCACATAAGACGTTGAGGCAACAAAAGTGCATTGCTTTCACGTCTTCATCCTTGTTGCTCTTCAAGTACGTGGTTGGATTGAAGTTATCTCTGCCGATTCCCATCATGTTGGCTCCCCGTGTCAATAGTGAAAGCAGCTGGTTCGTTCGGAAGCGCTTCAAAGTGTAAGTCCCGTTGGGATCATACGACTTGAGGTTCTCAGGCTCCTTAGCGAAGCGAATGATCTCCTCGTCAGTCACGTCCCTGCTCACACCTGTTTCTTTGTCCACTCCAGCCAAAGTTCCCCACTTTCCGAGCACATCATAGCGTTGGCCAAGTGCGAAATTCTCTCTCATCTGAAACAACGGCATAGTTGCCCACTTCGCGAATCCCGACCAAGCTTTGTAGATGGTTCTGCATACGACGAACGCCATATACGAAAGAGCGGCCATGTTGGCGTCGATGCAATGGGCGTTCCGTTTGCCGTGGTGGTAGGGCGGCTGCATGGCAGTGCGGGCGATTTGCAGTTCAGGGTCGATGTTCAGAGACTGACCGGCGATGAGGACGGGACGTCGTTCCTGTGCCACTGAATCTGGTACTTGGTCGTCAAAGTCCTCACCCGGTTCCGTGTCCATCTCTTCATCAGGTTCCTGTTCTGGATCGTCATCACCAGCAACGGACGGTTCTGGAATCGCTTCGGGTTCCGCAACCGATTCCGCTTCCATGGCTTCCTGTTCCTCGACGGTTGCTTCAGGTACTGCTGCTGCCGCAGCTTCCATCGTCTGAGCAATGAAGTCACTTGGGATCTCCGTCGGAGTATCCCGTTGTGGAGTACCTTGGTAGTATCCGCAAGAAACGAATTGTGACCAGCAGGATGTGCATCGAGAAAAGCATGCTGGAACAATGTTGTAGCACGCCGGGCATACCCTCATTCTCCTGCCATCCTCATCTCTTCGTAGATCTTCGGGTCGCCAGTTCTTGATGACAAACTTGATGCCCTTGTCCATATAGTGACCAGCCCGGGCTATCTGTTGCTTAATTTACTAATTGCTGCTTCTTTGCTATCTGTCGCTTGTTGAAGAGAAACTGGATTTTGCCATGAGCGATGTGAACTGCTCTGAAACATGTGCTTTCGGATTAGCATGCTGTTAATGGCCTGGCATGTCGGGATCAAGAATATCTGGGTGAGATGTAACCGCAGATGTTGCAAAAAATGCCATTTCGGTGTCGCGATGGGAAGATTGAAGTCAAACCGTAAATTGAACGTGTTTTCGAAAGTTTAGTATGATTTCAATCATGTGTATATAAGATATACGTGCAAACATGTCGTCGCCGACAGAAATGGAATTTGAGATTTCGGTACCTAAGTGTGATTACGAGTATGCTGCCGGCGGGGACATGTGATATATTTATATTTTTATATCCTCTCTCTCTCTATATATATATATATGTATATATATATATATATATATATAGATTTACATCTATATTAAAGTGTGTGTCTCTTGCATCTCTCTCCTGTATACATGTGTGCGAGTGTGTGGGCAAGCTGGCTGTGCATGATTGAAGTCTTGGGAAA